CCTTGGAGGCCGATCAGGCTGGGCCTCCCCTGCTGCCAGCACTTTGCCCCCATGCAGGCTCCTCGGGAAATAAAGCAGCCTTTTCGCCCGGGGGCCCTGGGGGAGGTGGGTTCAGGGGACACCCATCTGGGAACAAGGTGGGGCTGGCAGTCACAAGGGTGCAACCCCCTGGACTCTCTCTCCACAGGGACCTCCGTCTTCCAACTGACAGCAGTGGATGCAGATGACCCCACCGTGGCAGAGCACACCACCGTCATGTACCACATCCTGAAAGGAGACGAATACTTTGGCATTTCTAACTCTGGTCTGTGAGACTGACCCTCCTGTGGCTCGGGGAGCGGGGGAGGGGGAGATATTCCAGGTGTGGGTGCTGAGGGAAGCCCAGTCTGACAGGGGTCACTGACCACTGGGCCACACTATGCTAAGGAGGTGGTTGGTATCCCATGGTAAGACAAGGTGGCTGGTGAGGGCAGAAGGAAGCAGACAGGTGCCCAAGACACGGACTCCAGTCCAGGGAACAAAATCAGGACCCACGCGTGGACACAGGAGGCAGGAGTGGAAGCTGGTTACAGCTCTCCTCTACGCTGAGCCGAGAGGGGGCCTCAGGCTCTTTCTCAGCACAGTGCTCCCGGCAGCTAAGGCTAATATTGGACCAAACTGTTTGGGCAGCTCTGGCCCCGAAGTGCAGGGGTGGCGGCAGGGGGTGGTTGGCCAGTGTCCCTCAGCCCTGGCTGCACACTAGAATGCCCTGGGCGCTTGGCAGTCAGGTGCCCTCTGGAGAAGGCCTGGGCACCAGCATTTTCTTCAAGCTCCCCAGGTAACATGGCTCCTGCTGGGACCCTTTCTGCAGGACTCGTCTTCACCAAAGTCAACAACCTGGACCGAGAAACGCAGGCCAAGTACGAGATCGTGGTGGAAGCCCAAGATGCCCAGGGCCTCCGCGGGGACTCCGGCACGACCACCGTGCTGATCACTCTGGAGGACATCAACGACAACTTCCCCATCTTCACCCAGAGTGAGCCCCTCCCCTGGGGCCCTGGGCAGGGCAGCGGGCGGAATGCTCCAGATGCGGTGACCTGGGGCTCAACCCCTCACCCCACCCCAGGGTGGGCCTGGGGCTCAGGGAAATCACTTTGGCGAAGGAGGGGCCCTGCTCCCCATCCCTGCGCACATTCCCAAGGCTGTCCTACTGCCCCTGACTCAGAACACTGAGCCCAGCCACAGACTGATTCTCCCCAAAAATGCCTGACAAGAGCTTCTCACATGCCCTGGGTGGGGCTGAGGAGGAAGGCGATGGCTCTTCACATGAACCCTCTAATACTGAGGCAAAGCCAGGGGCTCGGCCTCCCCAAGGACAGGCCAGTTTTCCTGAGTGGCCTCGTTGTGCATGGCTTAAGCTCCCAGAAGGCGGGACTTGTCCCTCTTGTCAATGCATAACTCCCCTAGCAAAGTGCCTGGCGTACAGTAGATGCTTAATAACTAGTTGGATAGTTGGATGGATGGATGGACAGATAGAGGAGAACTATTTTGCCTTGACACTGAAAATTCCAGTGGCATTATTATTATTATTAACTAGAAGCCCAGTGCAAGAATTCGTGCACCAGTGGGGTCCTTGGCCTGGCCTGGCCTGCGGGGATAGGGCCGAAACTGGCTCTCTGACATCCCCCGAGGGGTCCTGGATTGTGAGAGGGTGCAGGCCAGGCCAAGGGACCCCACTGGTGCCCCATCGGGGCCAGGGAGGAACCGCGGGAGGGCTCCAGGGCATATCTGACCCATCTCACCCAGTCCCAATCGGCCAGACCCCAGCAGCAAGCTAACCTACTGGTTGGAGCTGATGGTCAGTGCGCATCATAGCGACTGGTCGAACGGTCGAATGGTCAGACACTTAGCATATTAGGCTTTTATTATATAGGATTATTATTATCTTCCCATGCCCATTTCCCATATCAGAATATATTAGGGTAATAGGAGGGACAATTGCCTTGTGGATCTCATTAACCCAATGCCCTCTGGGGCATCCTATTTGCATCAGCTAACTACAACTTTACGGTGCCTGAAGACATCCGTGTGGGCAGCCCCCTGGGCTCTCTGTTTGTTGAGGACCCAGACGAACCCCAGCACCGAATGACCAAGTACAGCATCGTGCAGGGAGAGTTCAGGGACACCTTCACCATCCAGACGGACCCCACCCACAACGAGGGCATCATCAAGCCCACAAAGGTTTGCAGGCCGGGGGCGATGGGGACAGATGTGGGGTTGGGGGCTCCCAGCATCTCCAGAACTCGCCCAGGGCGGCTAGCCGGTCAGAGGCCATCAGAGATGCACTCTGGTCAGCTTGGAGCTAGCCATGTGCTCACGGACACTGGGACGGCGGAGCGAGGAGAGAAGGATCGGTGCCTTAGGCTGGGTCCTGCCTGAAGCAGACCGTGAGGCAAGGATTTGGTGTAAACAGTTTACGTGGGAGGTGATCCCAGGAAGCCCCAGCAGCAGTGACAGGAGAAAAGGAGGAAGATGAATCGGCTTCTGGAAGGGTGAGTAGGAGAGTACAGTGGGGCCTTGACTTAAGAGTTTAATTCGTTCCGAGACCGAGCTCGTTAAGGAGCGCGTTAACTCAAATTACTCTATCAACTCAATGCAAAAAATCGGCCGAGAGACAGCTGGTATCTCAAAAAACTCGTTAGTCGGGACACTCGTAAGTCAAGGCCCCACTGTACTAAGCAGGCAAGGGCAGGAGAAGATTCTTGAGCAAAAACATAAGAAAAGACTCGTCCTTAAGGAGCTGTGGCTAGAACCACTAGTCTTTGATCCCCCTCGAGAGCAGGACTGGGGCTGGTCCCTGTGTGTCCCCAGGATTTGGAACAGGGCCAGGCATAGAGCCAGGCTTGAGGGTGGAGCAAGGAAGCAGCTGAGATGCGAAAGGGGGGAGGGGGGAGGTAGGTGCAGACAGCCAGGCCCAGCCACTCCCTTGATGGCCTGGGAAATATCACTTCTCCAGGCCTCCAGCCCCTCATCTGTAAAATGGGTATCATCCCGGAACTACCTCGCAGGAGTGCTGGCAAGATCACACACTACATGCGGGGCTCTGAACAGGGGCTCACCATCCTCTTCCCTCCACAGCCCCTGGACTACGAACGCATCCAGCAATACAGCTTCACCATCGAGGCCACGGACCCGACCATCAACCTCCGCTACTCAAGCAGCATCTCCGCCAAAAACAAGGCCCGCGTCACGATCCATGTCACCGACGTGGACGAGCCCCCCGTCTTCCAGAAGCCCTTCTACCACTTCCAGCTGCAGGAGAACCTGAAGAAACCTCTCATCGGCTCGGTGCTGGCCGTGGACCCCGACGCCGCGCGGAGGAACATTGGGTAAGGAGGGAGTGAGGAAGGGGGTGGTCATGACAGTCCTGGCCTGAGGTCCTTCTGGCTGCTGGACTGAGCCCAGGCCCAAAGGGAAAACCTCCCGGCGTGTACGTGGGAAACGCAGAGACAGGACTAGTAGCCAAGCTCTCCCACTGGCCCACGTGGCCCTCTCTTCCACCCTCTGCGACCGTGTCCTGCCTGAGCACCACCTCGCACAGCCCTGGCCACCAGAGCCCCTCGGCCTTGAAGGGCCTGTTCTCTGGACCCCGGCTCCCCCAGGTCTGGCTCCCCCAAGCCCCATCGAGGGAGACCCGGCGGTCAAGAGGGCAACCAACCAGACAACATATGTAAATCCTCTGCACTCAACACGCTTTATTAAATCTGTCTTCCCAAAACACAAGAGGGAAAAGTGCTCATTTCACGGAGAAATGACACAAAGATGGATAAAGAAACATCAGCAGCCCCCCACTCCCAGATAACACCTGTTCACCAAACTCATGTTTGATGGGGTCCTATCACGCCTTTCTTCATGGCAAACGGCAAGATGCGTTAACGGCAGGTTTGTTGTTTGCTTGTCCGGTTTGGGTTTTTTATTGTTTTAATTTTTTTTATCATGCCACGCCCATTTCAACTAGACTCCTCTCTTCTACCCTCTGGGACAAAAGATATAGTTCTAACTCATACTTTCTAGGGCCACTTAACATTTGATAGTGCGTATGAATTTAATCCAATCTCATGCTATTCCCGAGGATTAGCCGATTGTACCAGCACCAAATAAGTAACTCCTGGTTTCCTGACCCTCTTTATATATTAGGCTCCTGTCTGCATCCGAATCTATTTCTGAATCCTCTATTCTATCTATTCTCTGGCAAAGCCATCCTGTTTTATTGTAGCAGCTTTACCCTGAAACTTGGTGTATAGAGGGCAAGCCCCTCCCTCCTTGCTTTTTACTTTACATACTTTCTATGCACCCTAAAACAGTCTTTCTTGTGAATTTTTAAATTCTTTACCCAGTTTTTTAAAACCCATTGGAATTCTAATGAGAATGGTGTTTACATATCAATGTGGGGGGAGTTCATGTTTCTATGTTATCGTCTTCTTCTTAAGGACAAACGTGTCCCTCCTTTCTGGCCACATCTCCTACGTTCCTGGGCTACTGCTCTCATGGCCATTCTACTCTAAATAGTCTGTGATGATCGCTTTTCTTCTTCACTGACCCAAGGGCTAATTTAAGATTGGCTTTTTTCTTTTCACTTACTCGTGGTAGGGCATTTTGTATTTTTGCTTTAACTTGTTTCGTGATGTAATATAATGGTATCTGTGTTCATTCTTTTCCTTGATGCTTTTGCTTTATGTATTTTAGTGTTTCTAATAGTTGATAGCTATTTTACCTTCACTACACCTTCTAACTTTTATCCTATGACCTTACCCAGTTTGTTCCGCCTAAACATTTTGCCTTCAACTCCACGTTGCCTGATGTTAAGTTCGCCAGTCCTATGTTCATGTTATTCATGTTTGCCTGATATGTATTTTCCAAACTTGACTCTTAACTTTGCTAGGTCATTTGGCATTAAGTTGTCTTTCAAAAATACAATGCCGTTGACTTTGCTTTTTCATCTAAACTGGGATGCTTTGTGTGTAACCTATTTACATTTCTCATCATAAGTGACATGTTATGTTATTTTTTTATCTTGTTTTACATTTCCCATTTCTCAAACTTAATAGGGTTTTTTCTTTTCCCCCATCTATTTTTTTCTTCAAGATATTTGGGTAGAGTACATTCATTTTTACTTTTATCAGTGAAATTTACTTCCATCTATAAAATTATAAATGTTTCCCAGGACCTACATTTTCTAGTTAAAAATCAATCTCTCTCTCTCTCTCTCTCTCTCTCTCTCTCTCTCTCACACACACACACACACACACACACACACACACACACAACACCATTGCTTTTTCATATATATAATAATAAATCAATAGTTTCATTTTAATTCCTCCCACTTTTTGCTTTATATTGAGACATTTCTCAATTAGATGAAGTTTTCAAAAAATTTTTTTCAGGGCCTATCTTTGTAGATGAGAGCTATCACTCCTGATTTCTTGCATGTTTACAAATACCACAGTTTGTTTTGTTTTGCCTTCTTATGTTCATAACATCTAGATGTGCTTGTCTAATACTCAGATTATAGACACTTCACTCCAAAACTACTATCAAAGTGTTCTAGCATTTAATTTATGGGGACTTTCTGGGGTGACTCTGGTTTCTCTTTATAAAAATGCTTTTTTTTTTTTTTTCCTAACTGGACCCTTCAGTGTCTTCGTATAAGACTTGAAATTCAAAAGTGTCATCAGGATATACCTAAATACTGATCCCCTTTTAAAACCATGCCTCATATCAATGGCCACTTTTAATCTGTAGATTCGGGCCTTTCTTCAGATCAGGAAAGTTTCCTTTCATTATATCTTTTGTCATTTCTTCTGTTCCATTTGCTCTGGAACTTTCTTCAGTGGTAGCAAATAATTATTATAATTATAGTTTTCCTCTCTCTTTTCACCTCTGCATACCTTTGTTTATGATTTCTGGAAGAACTGTTCACAGTTTTACTTCACAAATTTAATTTTCTTTCACTCACTTCTTATCTCTTATAGCTCCTTTTTTTTTATATTTCTTCCTGGCTCTTGCCCAACTATCTTTTCATTCATCACAAGCACAATCGCAGCTATAGGGTAGGTGATGAAAGTGCACCTGTCTCAGCTCTGAGAGCACAGTTGATGGAGGCTCAGGCACCACCCTCACATCAGAGATGACAACAGCGCTAAGATCAAAGGGATCACCTCGCTTCTCTGCACCCCTCTGGGTGGTGGGGTGCAACGGGCAGTGAGAAGAGGACGGAGGAGGATGCAAGAGACAGATCCTGAAGGGCCTTGTCTGTCATACTAGGGAAGTGAACTCAGCAAAGAGCAATAGAAAGCCATGATTCTCTCTCCCCCCGGCAGATACTTCATCCGCAGGACCAGCGACAAAGGCCATTTCTTCCAAATAAGCAAGCAGGGGAATATTTACAACGAGAAAGAAGTAGACAGAGAAGTCACTCCCTGGTATAACCTGACTGTGGAGGCCAAGGAGCTGGATTCTAGAGGTGAGTAACCCCATCTGCCAGGCCATCGGGGCTCTTCTCCTTTCCTTCCTTCATTCGCAGTTGCATCGTCTGTCACGGGGGGGTCTCTGGAGGTTTCTAAGCTCCCTTAGAGCACCACTTGGCTGGGATGTTAGGCAGCCTTCATCCCCGAGTGTGGACGGACCAGCAAGCACCCATATCCCCTGAGACCTTGTTATCAAGGCCAAGGGCCAGGCCCCAACCCCAGACTGAATCGGAATCTCATGCACAGTACCGTTTATGAAGCGCTGTCCCCGTGACAAGAATCACCTGGGGCACCTCTTAACCTAGAGCTTTTCAGACCCCTCCCTGGTGGTTCAGGTCCAGTGAGCCAGAAACGGGGCCAAGAAACATGCATTGGACAAGCGCCACATGATTCTTATGATCATGGATTTTGGAAAAGGCTGTCTGGGGCTCTTTATGTCCCAGTTAGGGGGTTGAATTCAAAATCTGCAGCAGGTTCTAACTCCAAGGTGGTTAGGTTCTCCAGAAATTGGTGTAACATGCGCCAAAGGGAAAGGCAAGAGTTGGAGTTTTGCACCCTTGTCCTCTATGAGAAAATCACCACTGCCCTGCAGAGAAAGATTAACATTCCCGCCTCACCCAGGAGACCACCCCCCACCCCCCGGAGAGGGGGCGAAAGCGGGACTTGGCCACCGCCCCCCAGTGCTACCCACATCCCCAATATGACAGCCAGGCCAACTGTGATGGACTCCTGTGTTTTCAGATCCATCTTTAGCCCTTTCTTCCCCATCTATTTACAGTCATACACTTTTTAAAATTTTGAAAGTAATTTAAATTTTAAAAGTTATTTGTGGTTTCTTTTAAAATACGGAAAATACAAACTAGGAGAAGAAAATGATCCCCCCATAATCCTACCATACAGAGACCACTACTGTTAGCACTTTAGTGTACCTTCTGTGGTCCTTTTTCTATACCAGTGATGGCGAACCTTTTGAGCTCGGCGTGTCAGCATTTTGAAAAACCCTAACTTAACTCTGGTGCCGTGTCACATATAGAAATTTTTTGATATTTGCAACCATAGTAACACAAAGACTTATATTTTTGATATTTATTTTATATATGTAAATGCTATTTAACAAAGAAAAATCAACCAAAAAATGAGTTCGCGTGTCAGAGGTTCGCCATCACTGTCCTATACATATATTTACAGAAGTAAGTTTATAATATTTGTATCAACTCTTATCCTGCATTTTTACTTAACCTTATTTCAGAACCATTTTCTCATGGTTCTAACCCGTCGTTTTTTAACTTACATTTTGAAAATGTAATTTACACGGGCATTATAAATGGCCACATATTTCATTCTTGTAAAGTGGTGTAATTTATTGGCCCAATCTCACTTACATTGTTTACCTTTTAAATCATTTTCTAATTAAGTAATTTAATTTAATAAATTATACTTGTTTGAATTAATTTCAATTACTTAATTAAATCCTGAGATTAGTTTGGTGATGACTTAACTCAATTTTATGAAAAGCTTTTTAAATTCCCTGAGATTACCTTTTCATTCTTACAAGTAATTCTTTAGGAAGCATCCTTGTGCATGAAGCTTGCCCCGCCCCCCACCTCTTCCACTCATTTCATCCAGAATACCCTCCCTGGCCTCCCTCTTCCATGGCCCCCTCTTCCTGTGAGAAGGGCCCTCCTCCGGGAGCCCCCATCCACACATCAGCGGAGCCCGTTGCAGTGACAAGTTCTTTCCCCCTGCAGGGAACCCCACGGGCAAAGAATCCATCGTCCAGGTCCACATCGAAGTTCTGGATGTGAACGACAACCCCCCAAAGTTTGCCAAGCCCTACGAGCCCACAGTGTGCGAGAATGCTGAGCAGGGCACGGTGAGTCTGGCTCGGGTGGGAGGACGAGGCGGCGCCCACCTGGGACAGGCTTCCGAGCAGCACCTCCCACCCACAATCAGTTGCTTAATGTGACCTGCACAGCAGCCTTGAGGAAAGGTGACATTATCCCTACTGTATAGGTGGAGAAACTGAGGCTCAGAGAAAAGACGCGGAGAACAGATTGGCGGGGAGGGGGCCGGTACAAAGAGTATCTTTGTGGGTGTCATTTAAGTCAGTGTTGCAGGTGGGAGGCAGCCAGGGTCAGGTCTAAACCCAGAGTCTCCATCACTGAACTCCAGACAAGCCCAACACCATCACTGACCACCCGCGTCTTCCACACTCCAGCTGGTGGTGCAAATCTTGGCAACAGACGCGGACATAACGCCAAAAAATGTGAAGTTCAAATTCTCCCTGAACACCCAGGACAGCAACTTCACCCTCACGGATAATCACGGTATGTCCACATGAAAGTACCTGGCTCTTAGGAGGGTCAGGAGGGAGGTTATTTGAGTCTTGAAGCGCCAGGATCAAGGCTCAAGTCAACAAACTGGGGGCAAGGCCTCACTGGGGTTTTCATTTCATGGCATATTTTGTACAACTTCTGCCAAATCCTTATTGGCCTGTACAATGGTCAGAGGTGCCCTGGCCAAACTGTCAAGCCCGCATAACCTGCCATTTCCCGTAAGAGACTAGGCGTACAGAATAGATACGGGTGCAGACAGTCAGTTCGGTTCCCAAACTAGCCAAGGGATTCCTCACACACAATCTCTGAATTACTCAGCATAATTACAATTTACTCTATGACATGGAACTTTGAGGTCACTTCCAAAAAGTGAAAACTGGACATGTGAATTTGAAATGCCAAGGAATCAGAAAACTTGGTCTTAATTCAATTACAATAACTACTTACCGCCAGGGGCCTGGGACAGGATCTAGTCCGCCAATCACAGCCCAGAGAGTCCTATGATGTCAGTAGTAGCCAATCAGAGCTTCCAATGAGTAAGCGCTCAGGGGTGGGGTCATGCTGAGTTGATTGCACTCCAGTCACTGGTAGACAGGTTTCCGTAGCTTCAGCAGCTTCCTCAGAAAAATAAAAATAAAAATAAAAATCCCCCTTAAATCTAACTAGAGCAATCCATCAGCCAGCATGGGGTGGAATTCCTGCCCGTCCCTGACTGGCAAAACTGTGGTTGGTGAGGATCCCTGTATGGACACAGCCACTGCAAGGTCAGGATGAGGAAGGTCCGAGAAGGGGTCTCTGAGAGCGGGGGCAGACCCAGAGGATCGGCCACAGCCTCCTGGGGGCAGGGAAGGTGGCCATGACGTGTTGACAGTCAATGACGGACCACTCAGCGTTCAGCTGTCTTTAGTAGTAACTAATGCGGCCAAAATACCCATCACCCCATCCCAAGGTCCACCTCAATCCTACCTCAGAGAGGTCTACAAGGGGGTGGAAAGCTTAAGTGCTACCCCAAGGAGCCCCCATGTGCGGCCAGGAGGCAAGCTTGTTGGTCTTGGATTCACTGAGCATGAGTGTCCTGCTATAGCATTAAATGGGAATAGTGAGAAAGCACTCATTTCTCCCATAGTGTCAATGGCCATATTGTTCACTCTCAAGTATAACAGACAAGGCTACTTAATAATGAAATGAACTGGCTTTCCTTTGAAATCTAAAATATGGCCTCCTTTGCTCTCGGCTGGCTTGCTTCATGGACCAACCCTACACGGCGGCCAAATACCCCCTCCAAATCCCGTGCTCTCCCCCGGCCATCAGTATCATGACCTCCCAGGAAGCCTACAAAGGGAGGATTATCTGGCCTCTGCCCAAAGCCACGGAGTCAGCAATGGACAGAGGATAGGGACGCAAGGAAAGGAGGTGGTTGGGAAGGGGTGAGGTCTGTTCGCCTGCAGGTTTAAAACGCTCCCTCGGGAGTTCTGCACAGGACACCATTGATTGGAGCTGGGAGGGAAAGTCAAATTCGGGCCAAAGCCCAGTCCCAGGCCCAGCCTGCCCCAGATATTCTCAAGTCCATATGCAATCATTCCCTCAGCATGCCCAGGCAGGAACGTAAGCATTGTTTTTACTTTCTAGCCAATTTGCAGGGATAACAGAAAGAGTCTCAGAAGTTAGCCTGATCTAAAAGACTATTGAAAACTTTATTTCCCCGATTATTATTTGTCAGAGCTTAAAACAATACATTCATTAACTGAGCTGAAAGAGAGTCGCCTATCATTAGAGTGGAGTTAGGGAGGAAGGGATCAGGCATATCAGTTGCCCACAGAAAGAGAAAACAGGGATTTTACATTCTGGCCAAGCCATTCTTAGAAGATACATCCAAGGAGCTGCCCAAAATATCCCCCCTCTGGAAGAACAAAAGGCTGAAACATAAGGCAGGGGATGCAAAGAACACAGAGGCGCCCCAGGTGGCACATGGGCGGGCCCAATCCAGGAGGACTCCCAGGAGGAGACAAGCTACACTGTCAGGGCGGACAAGGGGACAGGCACTCCCGGCAGCACAGCCTGACTCTGAGGCCCTGGTGCTTCCAGATAACACAGCCAACATCACCGTCAAGTACGGGCAGTTTGACCGGGAGCATACCAAGGTCCACCACCTGCCTGTGCTCATCTCGGACAACGGGCGGCCGAGCCTCACAGGCACCAGCACGCTGACCGTGACCGTGTGCAAGTGCAACGAGCATGGCGAGGCCACCTTCTGCAACGGGAAACTCTACCAGGGGTACAACATCATCCCCGTGCTGGTAGCCATCTTCCTCTGCATCCTCACCATCACAGGTCAGTGCCCGGAGCCGGGAGGGGATGGGGGAGGGGGGCCTGCTCCAAGGGAGGGAGAGGCCAGGGATCCAGGTCAGTCCTGCCTCCAGCCCACAGGATAGCCCTGAGCCAGTCCCCACCCTGAGCCCCAATGAGATAGGACTGCCAACTTCACCTCCCTGGGTGCCTAAGGATGGGGCGGGGGGGGGGGGGGGAGACCGGGCTCAAGGACCCTCCCCCACTTTAAAATTCTTTCTATACGACATTCAACTTCCTGTGTGCCAGGCACCATTCTTGGCACTTATTTACATGAAAACTGTTTTAAAAACAGAGGATCCAGTTCACCCTTTGGGAAGAGATGCAAAGTTTAAAAACGTCTCATTTTGATGATCTCCAGGAGCTTTCTTCCCTTTCAGAGGGTTCCTCCTGCCGGGATATCACTTTTTTTCTGGTTGGGAGCATTTCAGGCCTTGCCTTCGTTTGGATTCCCCCGGAAGCAGAACCTAGGATTGGGGTGCACGTGGTTTATTTGCGAGGTGCTTCCAGGAAGCCCAGAAGGAAGAGGGGATGCAAACGGGAGACAACCAACAGATCGACGTTGCGCTTTCACAGTGATATTTCTCTCGGTCTCTCTCCCTCTCCTCTCCTCTCTCTCTCTCTCTTAAATCAATTTTTATTTTATTTTAAATATATTTTATTGATCTTTTACAGAGAGGAAGGGAGAGGGATAGAGAGTTAGAAACATCAGCTGCCTCCTGCACACTTCCTACTGGGGATGTGCCCGCAACCAAGGTACATGGCCTTGAGCGGAATCGAACCTGGGACCCTTCAGTCCATAGGCCGATGCTCTAGCCACTGAGCCAAACTGGTTAGGGCTCTTAAATCAATTTTTGAAAGAAAGAAAGAAAGGAAGAAAGAAAAGGAAGGAAGGAAGGAAGGAAGGAAGGAAGGAAGGAAGGAAGGAAGGAAGGAAGGAAGGAAGGAAGGAAGGAAGGTGGCAGGGTTTGCCACAGTGGTGTGAGAAGGGAGGAAACGAGGATGCAGGCAGATGAGGCTGACACTGGAGGAGAGAATGAACTTGAGGGAAGCCCACTGGGTACCTCTCCCTTCCGACCCCCCTACCAGTGGCGCTGACGACCAGTCAGGACCACATGGGGGCAGGTGGGGCCGAGACTCTGTCCCAGCAGTGGACCCACCAGGTGTCTGGACCCACGCACACCTGTGTGGGGCCAGGGTGTCCCGTAAGCTGCAGGAATTCCCAGGGAAGAGACGGGGGCGCAGGTGAGGGTCGGGCCAGCCCGCTAACCCACGGCTCTCTCCCCGGCAGTGATCATGGTGCTCCTCTTCCTGCGGCGGCGGCTCCGGAAGCAGGACCGCGCCCACGGCAAGAGCGTCCCCGAGATCCACGAGCAGCTGGTCTCCTACGACGAGGAGGGCGGCGGCGAGATGGACACCACCAGCTACGACGTGTCGGTGCTCAACTCGGTGCGCCACGGCGGGACCAAGCCTCCGCGCGCCACGCGGGACGTGCGGCCGTCGGTGTACGCCAAGGTGCAGAAGCCGCCGCGGCACCTGCCGCCCCCCAAGCCCGGGGAGCTCGGGGACATGGCCGCTGTGATCGAGGTGAAGAAGGACGAGGCGGACCAGGACAGCAGCGGCCTGCCCTACGACACGCTGCACCTGTTCGACTACGAGGGCTCCGAGTCCATCGCCGAGTCCCTCAGCTCCCTGGGCACCGGCTCCTCCGACTCCGACATCGATTACGACTTCCTCAACGACTGGGGGCCCAGGTTCAAGATGCTGGCCGAGCTGTACAGCACGGACTCCCCGGAGGAGCTGCTGTATTAGGGGCGGGTGCCCCGGGCCTGGGGACCCAAACCGTTGCGGCTGCAGCCAGCTGGACACCAGGCCTGACCTGGAATGACAGCACGGACCCCCCAGGCCCAGCAGCCCTTCCTTGTGGGTCCCAGAGACCTCACCACCCTGGGCAGCAAACTCCAGGTCCCTGAAATGTCCAGGAACCTGTTTCCGCGGCGGCTACCCCCCGAAATGCTGGAACATCCAAGCTAGCGGTGCCTGGGCTGGGACAGCCACATAACCCTGTCACCAGGACCACACGTCCAATGCAGAGACGTTTTCTCTAGCTCCTCAAAGAGCTGATGTCCAACTACCAGAGACAGGTGTTCCCCAAAGGTCCCTAAACGCCCCCAGCGAGGCTGGGGAGGCCCTCGCGCCTGTCTCCCTGGAGGCAAAGGGCAGGACAGAATGACCTGTGGGTGACCCTGCCCGCAGCCCGGTCCCAAGGAAGCCCAGGGCCATCCATGCCGCCTGCCCTGCTTCAACTTCCTCACACCCTCCCCCGCCCCCTCGCACTCGGAGGCCCCTCTCCAGGCCCCTGAAGAGGGAGGAAGGGGTCCCTGGCAGCTATCCACTGGGGTCTTCAGGGGCCCTCGTCCGCCTGCCACACTAGTTTCTGTCCTGCACTGAGCGCTGAGCCGCAGCCTGCGTCAGGGAAGTGGCTTGCTGAGCTGTGAAGCAACTGTGAATGCATCCTGGAGGGACACAGGCGATCATGTGTGACAGACCAGGGGGTGAAGGCCACCCTCCAGAGGGGGCCTGGAGGGGCGTGACCCCGATTGGAGACTCACTGACACGCCTCTAGTTTTGCCTGGGAAATGGGGACGGATGTGCCCAGAGCAGAACACGTCTTCCCATCTCTGCCTCGCCCGGTCCTTCATTCCTGCTGTCTCTTTTCTTTCTCTCCCCTCCTCCTCCTCCTCCTCCTCCTCCTCCTCCTCCTCCTCCTCCTCCTCCTCCTCGTCTCTGGACTCAGAGGCACTCAAGATATGATCCACAGCAATTGGCAACTCTGGCCAATGTCCAAACCCAACTCTGACTGCACAACGGAGCCAAGCCATTTGCCTTCACACCTCGTTGTTGCCGCATCTCAGGGAACCCCAGCAGGGCCCTGTCCTTCAGGCACACCCTGCGGAAGACAAGGCCCCCGCCCCATCCAAGCCCCTTCGTCCTCTGTGCATCTCCCCCTTTCAGCCACACGTGGAACGTTCCAGCACAAACACACCTGGGAGAAGAGGAATCACTCAAAGGGAGGGGCAGGGATGGAGGCAAACTCTCCAACTCACCCTTGGCCATGACTCAAGTCCCCCCTCTGAGGGCCCCTGACACATCAGGGGATCGTAGATAACACTGACTTTATTTTTAACCAATAACTACCTTTTTTTATAACTACTTAATTTTTTTTTACTAATAACACTTATATATGTCTAGGTCTCACAAACATATAAGATTTTTTGCATAACAAGGTTGCTATTTAGATTAACAATTTTAATCCAGGTGTTTTAGTTGAATAAACAAATTCCTGTAACCTTCTATTTCCTATCATTGTCATAACTGCTCTAGGGAAATTGACTATATATTGACCACACTGGTGCATGAAATGTACTGTATTTTTTTTTTATACCTGAATAAAGATCTTGAAATTCTTCCATTTCTAGAGCTGAGAGAGTGAGCTTTTTTAATGTATTTTTATTAATTTCAGAGAGGAAGACAGAAGGAGAAAGAAATAGAAACATCAATGACAAGAGAGAAACATTGATGGGCTCCCTCCTGCACACCCCCCATTGGGGATTGAACCCTCAACCTGGGCATGTGCCCTGAACGAGAATCAAACCGTGACCTCCCGGTTCATTGGTCAATGCTCAACCACTGAGCCACACCAGTCGGGCAACAATTATTCTTGAATTGTCTATTTTCCCTGCAATTCTATCCATTTTTGCTTTGAGTATTTTTGGTGTTTGTTGTTAGGGAAATATAAGTTTAAATGATTTTATCTTCTTGACAGATTGGCCCTTTTAGCATTATAAAATGTACCTCTACATCTAGGATCAATTTTTATTTTAAAATCTATTTTGTCTGGCAGTCACTCCAGCTCTCTTTTGGTTACTGTTTATATGGTACTAGTGACCCAGTACATGAAATTCATGCACATTAAAAGGGAATTCATTAGAGGACATATTTTAATATTGCTATTTGCCCTTTCTCTATAATACAAGTGTCAGAAAGAAAATTAGTAATATGTGTATGAAAATCTTCCTCCTGTTGGAGTCTGGGGCATGCCGCGGGAACCAGAGACAATTCCCCGCCCATCCACATGCACGTCAAAATCCCGCGAGACCCAGACCTGGCCAGCCCCACCCCCATTGGCTAGATCCAGACCTGGCCAGCCCCACCCCCGTCAAGTCCCACCAGGTGGGGGGTGCGGCCTCAGGTCACCTGGCCCGGCACCAGGGCGCAGGGCGCGCTGAGGTCCCCTGGTCCCAGGCCAGGGGGTGTGGCCTGAACTCCCCCATCAAGCCCTGCCATGCGGGGGGCCCAGCCCTCAGGGCCTCTCGGGCCCAGGGCCGGGCAAGGGGGGACAAACCTGAGG